GATAGGCTAAATTCTTTTTTAGATGGTATACAATAATACACGCTACTGTAACATGAATGTCTGCATGCATAAAGTTTGATGTCGATCTTTTCTAATTGGCATAAAAATATATTTTTTATCCGCCTTTTTATATCTGATATAAAATTATGACATATACGACGAAATATAAACCAGAACGGGAAATTAAGCCAAGCATAATTTCGAGAGAGCTCATAAATTGAGTTGATTACCTTTTCCTTATGCAATGGCAATAAAACATTATCATAAAGCATAAGGCATTAAAGTATAAAATTTAACCGAAGATCTGTACAACAAAGAATCCATATCAAGGAAAAAAAAAAGGTTTTTTTATAACGCGGAAATTTTCGATAGATTATTCTTTTTTCCCCGTGTATTCGTCTTGAACACAAATAGGAAATCTTTGAATATGAGCCACTTTCATGTATGAGCCAATTACCTTTTTTATTTGGTGACACGTTATGTATATGAGTGGCTTGTGATTAAAAAAAAAAAATATATATTCACAAAGATATCATACCATTTTGGTAAAACAAAAATTTGTCAATTTATTCAATAAATCAAAAATATATATATATATATATTTTTTTTTTCATTTTAAATTTATTCCCTTTAGTCAGTTTAAAAAAGGTTTTTAATAAGAAAAGAAAAGAAAAAAAAAAAAAAAAAAAAAACCTACTATTGTTGTTTTCATATTGTACAAGTAAAAAAAAAAAAAATTTAAATCATTATAAATGATAATGGCCGAAAATCAAAATGCCTATTACTATTCAGGCGGTGACGGAAATGACACACAACCTCGCCCTACTTTACCCAGAACTAGATCTGTCGTTGGACCGAGACCACTTCCTGGTGGTTCCAACAGCTATTCAAAGGAATCGAGAGATGCTTCTTACCAACAACAAAAACAATATATTTTTGCTAATGTTTCTGAATATGATCCTGCTCCAGTTCAAAACTATACCCCACAAAATTTTATACCTCCTCAACAATATAGGTTAGATCCTTCCGATCAACCTTTTCCACCTTTAGTTTCACCAAAACCACAAAAACCAATACCTACTGTAACAAAGGACATTTCGAATGCTTTAGAAACGCAATATCCAGGTGTAAATGAATATGAAATACAATATATTCCTACAACTTCTGACACTCCAAAAAGTTGGTATAAAGGTGATGATGAAAAGTTGAATTTAGCTTCGGATCAAAATCAAAGTCCTCAACCACAAAATAACACAGAGTCGCGGTCAAATATTATAATCGCGTCTCAAGAAAGTCAAATTTATCAGTTACATCAGGGCACAAAAGAATTACCTTCCCAAGATAATCGTAGTATTATTTCGAATAATCAAAATAATCAAAATATAAATAATAATCAATCTTATCAACCTTCTAATAGCCCACTAAATCAACGACAACTTGATCAAATTCAAACCCATCCACAGCAGTACTCACAGCACCCACATCAGTACTCACAACAATACTCACAACAGCAGTCGCAGCCGTACTCACAACATCCGTACTCGCAACAGCAGTCGCAGTCGTACTCACAGCAACAACAGCAAAAACAGCAACAGCCGCAGCAACAACAAAAAATATATTATCAACAAAATTATAATAATTTTCAACAAAAACAACATGATTATATACCACAATCACAATACAAACCGATGGTGCCACCTAATGGAAATTTTCAAAGTGAGAAAACTTTATGTAAATTTATTCAAGTTAAATTTAAAGAACTTATACGATTTGTTTTATTCATATTACAGATGGTCCCCATCAACAAAGTCAACAATCAACTCCACCTTCTTCTATACATAATACACCTAGACAATCTTTATCTCAGAGTGTAAATATCCATCAACAGCAAACTCAATATCCAGGT